AAGAGCCGTGGCTTTGTTTAATCTCTTCCTCTCCAGCCCCTCCTCCTCCCACCCACCCGGAGCTTGGAAGAGAGGAGCTGACAGTGAGATCCCTGCCATGGAAGCAATTTTGTTGTTGCAAACAGGGAATGGCAACATCGCTAATGGAATTAGGCTAATTATAGAGAGGACAGCTTCTGTTTAGACACGTTATCTGGGTAATCGGCACTGACTGGAAAGGCACCGCAAGAAGAGCATGGCAGAGTGAGCGTGGGGGGTCGAGGCGGAGGAAGCCACGCTCCCCTCTGCTGGGCTCAGACTGCTCTGTGGCTGACCCGCTCCTGATGGCTGCCGGGTAGCCATGCTGGGGTGCCCCTTGTCCTCCTCCTTGGAGGGGGGGCCCAGGAGGAGCCATGGCCCTTTAGGCTGTCACCTGCCCAGTCTGAGTTCAGTGCCAGTGTAGACAAGCCCTCGGCTTCCAGAGCCCGCTCTGCTCTGCTCTGCTCTGCTCTGCGCTGCGGTGGTGCCTGGCGAGTGGAGCTGGGGGCGGTGCGGAAGGTTTGCTGCTCAGACGGGGTCTGCTTCCACACCCTTGCTTTGCCTTGCAGGCAAAGTGCAGCTCCTTCAGCAGAGCCCTAGGGCCTGTTGCAACCACCTGGGAGAGTGTTTCATGTTCAAGGAGAACCTGGTCCGTTAGAGTAGCCAGCTTCATTAGCATCCCATTCCATCGCTGCAGCTGCAAGGAGTGCCAGCAGCTGCTCCAGTGTGGTGGTGGGTGCCGGGTGGGCAGTGCTGATGGCAGCTTGGGAGCAGGGCAGCATCTCAGGCCTGCGGTCAGCAGAGTCCTGACACACTGCTCTTCCCTCGGGCTCAGCAGGAGTGAGAAGTGCTACCTGTGCAAGTCGCTGGTGCCGCGCAGGGAGTATGAGCGCCACGTGGACGGCTGCCTCCAGGCTGCGGAGAGAGCGCTAGGCACCAGGAGGCTGCGAAGCGCCAAGGTGAGCACAGGTTTCCCTGAGCAGTGCTCCCCACCAGCTGGGGACAGAGGGGTGTGCCCGTGGGTGCCAGCCCTCAGGGTGTGAGCAGTAGGGCTGCCATCCTCTGCCCAGCCTTGGCCTGGGGGCTGCAGGGCATGGATTGCTGCAGCAGAGCATCCGGGGCCTGGTTGGGCTGTGACATTGGGGGTGGCTGAAGAGGAGTGAGCCATGGTGACGTTGCCTTGCCCCGGCATCCTGGGCCCCTGGGACACTG